GGAAGAAAATATGAACAAAAAAACGAGATTATATTATGATATGCGTTCCTCATAAAGCAAATAATTTACGAGAACGAGCTAAAAACTCCTCTACAGCGGAATAAGACTGGAAACAGAGTAAATCCACAGCATACTGATCCCTATAGACACGATCAGCTTACAGGCTAAAAACGAATTTTATGAAAAGATGTGTGGCGCTTTGAAAGTATTTATTTCACATTTTATAAATAATAATTTAATGCTCTTAACGGAGTAAGGCTACGACAACTATGGTTTTAGTCATAATTTCCGATGAGCAGAGTCGGAAGAATAATACTTGATCGGTAAAGAGAAACTCGACACAAATATTAAGGCGTATACCTCAAGTATATATTCGCGAATACAGTAATTTATTACATGTGAATAAAATATAGGATAAAAGTCCAGTGGGATACTTAATTCAGGTGCATAATTGCAAAGCTAAGCAGACTTGATGTGATTTGTTGGGAGTAAAGAAGTTGAGATGTATTATTTAACTTCTACAACGACACACGATGAAAGAAAAAGGGAGATAAAAATAAAATAATTAATAATAATAGTAAATAAATATAAATATATCTACTCGTCGGTCTGAGAATCTCCTTGGTGGCTGTAATCGGGACCCGACCCGATGCCTGACGCCAGTGGTGCTCACCAAGGCGAGAAGAGGCTGGTCTGTTGGTCGGAGCACTAAGTCCACGACCCGAAGCAAAAAGATTGAGTCGAGAGACATGCAATCGCTTTACACGGATGTTTGAGACTGATTCAGAGGCTTCGGTCGCAGAACTAGCAGACCCTAGGAAACCAATACCCATGGATTCCAGTCGATGAGAAGGTTTGGGAGAGTCCAGAGAACCATGTCCGGGCTCGGTTTCAGCTTCAGGATCCAACTTTCCGTCGGCTGTCGACGAGTGCTTCACAGCATCTTTGGAAAGTGATTTGACAGTACCTGACTCAGACAGGAATGCGAAAATTTTAAAGGGTAGCCTAAGGTTGAAGGCATGCATTTAACAGTGGCCCAATTATAATGAGCTATCAAGCAGCATACTTAGTAGCAAGATCAAACCTATCGATGATGACCCGTTACTTCTGGAATTACATTTAAAATTCCATGCAGTGAAAGAAAATAACGCCTTATTTCATGCTAAGTAAAAAGGAAAGCAACAAAAGCTCATTATATAAATGCTTCTTAGATAATGATTGTCTTAAGACCAGTAAAAAGTCGAAAACGACAATTAATCTAAAGCATTTAACGTAGAATGAAGCAAAAGTGCGAGCATAAGAAAAAATCACTCGCTATAATGGCCAGCGAGATCTAAAAGTCAAGAAAGTATTAACCAAGGATTCAAATATAGAGGCCATCTCGATATGAATATGATAAAAGATTGATTTCAAAATTCAATTTGCTCAGCTTTTGATTATTAAGCCATTGGCGGAAGAATCTCCAAGACTAAGAGGTTTGTGGAAGCAATAGTCACAGAGAAAAAAATGCTATACTATAGTCAGCAATAGCAACATTTTTTTAGCTTATGATATTTTGTATTAGTGAATCACTATCATTATGATTAAACAAATATTTTATTCAATATCATACTTCATGGTAGATCATATCTTGCCTAATAATGATAAAATAAGTAATGACAAAAGAATATGTATAAAAAACTCACATAGTCAAGTGATTGATAAAATTTGAAGCGATTAAAGGTGATGAAGGAATGGTAGCTGAATTTTCCCACAAGGATATGAATAAAGCTGACGTTTTCCTTGCATTTCACATAGCATTGCTTTCCCGATGGTTGTTCTCATCCAGAGAGGACTGCAGATTCGACCTCGCCTAGGTCTTATCAACAGGCCCAGCGGGAGTCGAACCATGAACGTGCAGCGTGTAAGCTCACCAGGTTAACCACTCCGCAACAGTCCTTCATCGCCTTAAACGAAATGGGGTGAATACATCTCATATAACTGATTTACTGGTAATCTCGAAACTCTGCTTATAAACGAAAAAAGTAGTGAAGTCGATCGTTATAGCAAATATAACTTTGCTTCATCGACACTCCCACCAAAGAATGTGATATGCGAAAATGTCTGGCCTTGAAATTCACATCTGCCCTGTGACCCAACGGCACTAGTGGTAATGCGGCGGAGTGGTTAATGTGTCGAGCTTACCCACAGCCCTGTCATGGTTCGACTCCCGCTGGGGTGGTTGATAAGACCTAGGCGATGTCGAAGCTGCAGTCCGCCATGGATGAGAACAACTTTTGGGAAAGCAAGGCTATGTGAAATTCATTGGAAAGGTTAGCTCTACTCATATCGTTGTGGGAAAGTTCAACTATCAGTCACTCATCACCTTAACCGAAATAGGGTAATACGTCTTACATAATTGATTTAATGGTAGTCTCAAAACTCTGTTTATAAAGGAAAAATAAGATTCGGGTAGTTTTACATATTTTACCTTGCCCTCACATTAAAAAAATATTTTGTGTGACAAAAGACAAGAGAAAATGGATAATGCGCTTAAGGGTTGCTAATAGCCTAATTGACAGCGTAACCAATTTGGAAATAATAGGTAGTTTGTCCATATGATAAACTAATTCGAGATAGATAAAAATAAGTGGTGGAAAGAGAATAAGGCAGAAAAAATAATGATACAGCGAAGATGAATGGTTCAAAGCATTATAATGAATCATCAGAGATTAGTCATAGATACGAAGGCAATTTTTCTCGTTCTAGGCCAGTTTATAAACTATCAGATATTTTGGATCAGAGAGGAGATAAATCACAAGCAACTTAATTCTTCGGAAAGTAAATATGCCATGGAATATGCAGAAATTAAGATCAGGAAAGTGTTTTATGATTGGTGTTATAGATAAAATCAAAGCTAATACCAGGACATTTTTGGTAAATAAGGTGGCACAATACAAGTTTGACAGATAATTTGATAGTCAATGAGATTTAAATTTTATTAAAGGTAATACAAAATTATTTATTTAAGGCTTATATTAAATCATTAAGGGACAAAAATCACCAATTACTGACAATATCTTGAATTAAGAATTCAATTTTCAAATATATGAATTTTCTATTCATCCAATGAAATTGTAGGAAAAGATGGTATGTAAAGCATTCGTAATTATGATATGAAAATAAGCTGAGTTTGGAAGAATCCTCGAGGCCAATTAATGAATCCCTTACCCTCCTCTTCTCGAACGAAATGAAGGGTATGCCAGTATCATTCATAATTATGCTTCAATAAAAGAAGCGAGGTACAAGGACAAATTCATAATTACAGACAAGTGGAATATAAATAATAATATAAGTTTCAACCTAGGGCATATAGTAAGGAAAAAATTCAGTTCATTGTAAATTAAAACAAAATATTTGAATCAGAAAAAAATTAAATCGTATGCTGACTGAATATATAATAAAACGTTTATCAAATGACTTAATAAATGTACTAAATTCGAGAACAAAGAAAATAAATTCATATATATGCTATTCATTTACTTTATTTAGGTTAAGGTAATGACCGGTAGTTGAATTTTCCCATAACAAAATGTGTCAATCTTGCCTCCCAAAAGGTATTCTCATCCAGGGTGGATTGCAGTGTTGGCATCGTCTACGCCTCATAAGCCCCCTTCAAAATGCCACAATTCAGTCATATTGGAATATTGAATAGGGAATTCGGCTAAAGTGTATATGAACACAACATTTAAGTGTCTTCTTGTAACATGGGAATGAGTTTTGCCGAAATAGTATCCAGTATAAGATCTCTCTAGTCACCATGTTGATAGGATGCTAAGCAAACTTGTAAACGTCAGTAGAATCGATAATATTATTAATAATTACGTTAAAACATCCAGGATCATAGAAAAATAAAAGACCCTTTTATCTGACATGCAGTGGAGGGGGAATGAACAAAAATGTTTACTTGAAAAATGAAAAACTAATCAATTAATTATGAATTAAAGCAATAAAGTGGCTTCGGAATTAGAAAATCGTTTTCGAGTAGAATTCCAAAATTATCAGTACCCCAGTATCCCAAAAGGTATTTTCATCCAAATAGGACCACATTTTTGATCTCGTCTGGGTCCCATCAGCACCCCCGAGAATCGAACCCAAAATAATGCAGCGGGTAATTATGACATATGAACACTATGCCATGTTGTCACAAGTTTATTTCAAGACAAGCTAGGCCTCTCCAACAGCTTACTTATATCATCTTAGGCGATTAAAGTTAATATCCATAATCTACTGATAGTCCTAAAATCTTACTTATAAAGAAAAAGAGTAACGTTTTAAAGTTTGGTTCTTCTTAGGTATGCCGATAAGACCCAGGCTAGATTGAAATGCATCCACTTTAGATGGGAATACCATTTAAGAAGCAAGGATAAGTAAAATCAAATCGCAATGTGAATACTAGACATTTCACTGCGGGATTACTTGCTCTCAATCATTCAGCTACCTAAGCGATCTTTAGTGAATAAAGTCCATATTCGAAAATAGTTTATTTGCGTCTGTTCTATTTAAGAAGTATAGGCCAGAGATTCAATGACTATCCTCGTGGCCTATCCCTCTGAAAAAGAATTGGAGTCCTAGATATAATGATAATAATGATTATTATTATTTTTTAAAAATCATTAAAAATATCAAGCCAACATGAATTCTATGAAGTAAGTCAAAGCCAGAATCTATAGGGAAAGGAGTCAGATAGAGCTGTATATGTTAAAATTTTGGTAGAATGAGCCAACTGAAGAGAGCATAAGTTCAAGTATCGAGATGCAAATTAAACGAAAATTTTAATATCTAGGGGGAAATAATAACATGCGGGTACATCCAAAACTAAAAACGAAAGATATTTGGGTCACAAAAACTGTCTTTTTCGGGATGATCTTAGAATAAAATAGTAAAAAACATCCGATTAATAGTGGAGCCGTCTATAATGAGAAACCCTAATACAAATTGCACCCATTTTGTTACTATGGAAAAAATACGGATTTATTCAGTATTAAATTTTCTGATTTACACTAAAAAGATAGATAGAAATAACAATATCTTATGAACTTTTGATTAATCACATTTTAATTTATCTAACAATGTTCAAGACAAAGTGGTATAAGTACTACAAGAATCAGATGTAAAGTTCAAATACCCGGTACTCTATCAAAGTCTTAATACTTTTTTACGATGGTTGGGCAGGCACATTTACAGAACTTTTGCTAAGTGACAAATGAAGCATGTTCAAGTTACGCAAAATCCGTTGAACAACCTTGATACTTCTTTCCCACAATGATATATCTCGTTTTACACCCACTGGTCTTGATTCATTTTTAATCACTCTCAATTGAAATGTTCAAGTACACTCTTTACTATGATTCACACTAATATTTCTTTTATTAAAGCTGGAGTTATTGGAATCAAGGATCCTACCATTTTTCACATCGGATCTATTTATCGAAACTGGGCCCACAGTAAGGTTAAGAATTCGAAGGAATTCTATGACGAAACAAAAAACTAAACATTTTGATGTAAAGTTAAGTTCAATTAAGGATAAACTACCGGTAAATGGGCGACACAGGATGATTAAAGTCGATAATATTCATCAGGGTTTAGAAATATAAGGAAATTGAGAAGGATATCCAAAGATCATCTAAGGCATACTAGCAAAGGAGGCAAAGTGGATATAAAGAACTTTGCTTAATTGACTACAAAAATTAAATGAGAACTGTTAAATCGGCAATTAGGCCATGATGATAAAGGGATTGCCAACCACAAGAGGCATAGAAATTACCTAAAACGCATACC